GAGATAAGCACCACCATACTTTGCAAGTAACTCTTTAGCCTCATCTGTTTTTGATTTCTTCTTCTTATTGTCTCCATCACTTCCTTCATCATCCTTAGAGCTTAATATCTAATCACAAGTCCATCCAAAACACCATTTTACTACACAAAAACTTCCATAGATTCTACAACTTCCAAAAATGCTCCAAACTAACCAATCACATATGCTCACTTGTTGATAAAAAAAAACACCATTTTAGCATAGTTAAAAGCTTACATAACTTCTACAACTACCACGAAAACGATCATATCTACTCACATAATCATCTAAACACCATTTTAGTACCCTTAGAAGCTTCCATAGCTTCAACAACTACAAAATTGCTCACATAATCATACAAAACACCATTTTAGTTACACTTAAAGCTTCAATAGCTTCTACTAATACCAAAATTGCTCTGAATTAGCCTATCATTCAGCTCAGAAACAATCATATGTCCTCACATGTTCATCCAAAAACACTATTTTACTTACACTTAAAGCTTCCATAGCGATAGAATCATCAATTTTAGATTACGAATTAAAACGAGAAATTGCGCAATCGAATTGATTTTACCTTCCATAGACCAACTTCAAGGCCATATTTCTTGGTAACTTCTTCGGCGGAAGGAGGAGGAGGAGAAGAAGACGGCGGCGAAATGTTCTTATCAATGTCCTCCGCCTTCTCACGGACGGCTCTGCATCTGAATTTCTTCGAGGAAGCTGAAACTGAAGAGTGGAAGAATCGGATTTGAAGGTTTCTGGTGTTCAACAAGGAAGACGAAGGAGGAATTTGCAGAAGCATCATCGCCATTGTTTTTTTCAGCCACCAAAAAAAACAGAAAGCAAATCTTTTCACCTTATTATTTTTATTTATTGTATGACACACAATTATTTTTTATTTTTTTCTGAAGGTATACCATTTGTTGTATTAGAGGTTCCAGAGTAATCTTTTACATATATAAAACTTTAATATAGTATAAAAAATCCATAAGTAAGAAAAATATTTTTAGACTATTTTATAAATATAAAAAACTACAAACAACATTTGTTTGATTCTCAGGCGTTTATATTTTGAACTGAAACTTTTGTATATCTAAACATAGTCTAAAATAATTTATTTTACTTATGGATTTTGTATAATTTATTACAATTGTATATAACTAAGAATATCACTTTGCAATCTCTAATACAACAAACAGCAAAACTTAAGGAAATGGTGGTATTATTCACATTTACTATATGTGAAATTTGTTGTCTCTATTTTCACGGAACTATCATCTCTTTCCCAAAGCTTTCACCCAGATTATAAAGGTTTTTTTTTTTTTTTTTTATTATATAAAGATTATAAAGGTTTACTATCCGAAAATATTCTCTTTTCCATAAAAATTTTGGTTTGTACACAAGTTTGAATAATTGTTAAGACTAGCTCAACATGCCATATTGCCATAGACCAATACTATATTTATTTATGTATAAATAATATGTATGTCGTAACTAGCTTTAGTTCCTAGCTATTAATACAGTCCAAAAGAAAGAAAATAAGATAGCCAAGAAAACAGTAGTGGCCAGAACATTCTTCATCAATCTCTGGCTATCATCTTTCTTGATTTTGAACGGGTTCGGGAATCTCCAGCTGGAGTCGGTTCCGGCAACGTTCTTGATCCTGAACAAAGCGTAACAATTCATTTTTATACCACATTTTGACCTCTTACTCGATGACTCGCTTGATATTGTTTCTTGATGAGTTGGATTAGTTGGTCGAAACGCTTGGCTAGCTTTCAACGCTTCTTCGTCGAGCTTTATTATATCATCGTTCAGAATCTCGGCGTAACAATCATCATCGGTATCGGCCTGATCCTGCATCGCAATAGAAAGAGATCAACTTCAGTTACAAACTCTAAACTCTACCAATACAAGAAAACTAAGGATGTTCAGCCCAAGTGTTGGTTTAGTCTATAGAGTTATAATATTAGTAGCCAAAATAAAAACCAAACATTGGATATATTGGTTTGTTACGTTTTAAGTTTAGAATCTGCTTTAGTAAAATAACAACTTTAGTGAAATCTAATGTACTATGAATCCGTTATAGTATGGTACTATGGTGTTGGTTTGGTTTTAGTTTCTTAATCGGTTCTGTTTTCGGAACTATATTGAATTTAATGTGGTTTCGATTAAGATTGGAGCGGATAATTTTACCAGTATTAAACATCGTTAAAAGACACATTCCTCAAAAGCAAGCTGACCTCAACAACATTTGATGATTCTGCGATGTCACCATTTGGTATCTGATGCTCAGATTCATAGTAGGATTTGTCCTCCTTCTCCAAACCACCTCTTTGGCCAACGTAGCCATCGTCTTGCACAACACCATCCTCCATTTTTTGGGTCGAACTAGCCCGAAAATCAGCATTTTTTCTTAACCGGCACACCACTAATGCATCCTGTGAAATCCAAATTTCAATATATCTCAAAACATTAAAACTCAACCTATTCAAAATGAAAGTTTTAAGAACCTGTGGGGCTCCATGGATGCAGTATTCATGCATAATCCACTCCGTTCTCTCGCCACGAGGAGCCCGACCGATATGAAATACAAGCGTTCTCTTGGTTCCAACAACTTGGTTCCCGGATTTAACACTCCGCTCTTTACCGGTCGCTTTCCAATATCCGAGCTGTGTGGCTCGACGGCTCTGTGACCCGTGCGGGTACTTCCTTCCCCTAGCGCAGAAGTAAAACCACTCGTTCTCCGATTTCAGTTTCGATTCCTCTGTTTTATAGGCACAAACATTCAAATTAGTGAACCAAAGTAAACATAAAGATAAAGAGAACCGAAGTAAAACCTGGCAAGTCCCACGGCTCGAACTTGTAAATCTCGACCTCAGCAATCACAGCAACAGAGTTCTCATCACCATCGATTTTACGACGAAGATAGTACGAGATAAGTTCAACATCGGTAGGAGAGAATCTAAAACCAGGGAACAAAGCCGACACCGCGATCGACATCTCAGCTTCTTTAGACATTGTTTGATATTTTTGGCTCAAGAACTCGAAAATACTTTGCTTTAGATGAAGAAACATGCCTTATAAATGGCAAGTGTGCAGCTACTTTGCTTCGGGTAAAGGTTTTGTGTTTTTTGATATTTGGCGGCTTCAGAGGGAAATAGGATGACGTGGACAATGACTGTATTGGGCGAATAACAGAAGAGTGTAATGAGATACTAAAGGACAACAATGATAACGTGGTGATGTATTATTGGACAGAACTCAAACCCAGCTCTGAAGTTCTCTCATTGATGCTTAATAATCGTCTCTTCGTTTTTAAACACTTGTTTCGATATCTTCCTCGGTATTTGTACTCCGCATGCCAATAAGTTTTTGTTTTTTTGTTTTTTTGGGTGTAATAAGTAATCAAAATGAATTTTTGTTTTTGACGGCAATCAAAATGAATTAAATCACTTTGTAATTATTTTAATATCTTGCGCCAAGATATTTTCTTTTGTGTAATACAAGTTTTATATGAATCTATTTTATTAAATAGTTTATATTTTTCTCATTAGAATTTCTAATCTATTATTTTATTAGCTTACATTATCATTAACGTTTTAATTATTTTTAAAATATATAATAAAATCAATAAAATCATATACTAACTAAACTGTATATCCAAATTTGTATCCGTGTAACTTTCTCTAAACTAGTTTTATGTCTTGTAGGCTCATATTGGAACTTACTTGCTTCAAAAGATGGGCGATTGATCTAAACGTGATGGGTATAAATTTTGGTGCTCACGTAAGATAACTATGGTTACGGTTAGGGATGTCAAAATGGGTCAAAATTCATGGGTCAACTCAACTCAACTCAACCCATAAACCCTAGTGAGTTGAAATTTTTGATTCAAATGAGTTGATGGGTCAAATGAGTTGATGAGTCAATTGGTTTGATGAGTCAGTTGGTTTGATGAGTAAAATGAGTTGGGTTGTAATGGTTAATGGTTTCAATGGTTTACCCAATTAACCCATCAAGTTTTGTAAAATTGAATTAAACCAACTAAAATCTCTAAACCAATGCCAATTTAAGTTTAACCAACACATCTAAACCAATTTAATAAAATTAATATTTTTCCAAATTTCTTAAATATACAAGCGATGAAATTGAGAAAAAGTAAACTCGTAATTTTTCCAAAAAAAAACATAAACCCGTGATTTTCCCGCCAAAAACGTAAACCCGTGATTTTCCCGCCAAAAACGTAAACCCGAGATTTTCCCGCCAATAACGTAAATCCATAATTTTTCCGCCAAAAACGTAAACCCGTAATTTTCCCGCAAAAAATGTAAACCCGTAATTTTTTCGCCAAAAACGTAAACCATGATTTTCCTGCCAAAAACGAAAACCCGTGATTTTTCCGCCAAAAACGTAAACCCGTGATTTTCCCGCCAAAAACGTAAACCCGTGATTTTCCCGCCAAAAACGTAAACCCGTGATTTTCCCGCCAAAAACGTAAACCTGTAATTTTCCCGCCATAAACATAAACCCATGATTTCCCCGCCAAAAACATTAATCCGTAATTTTCCCGCCAAAAACGTAAACTCGTAATTTTCCCGCCAAAAACATAAACCCATGATTTCCCGCCAAAAACGTAAACCCGGTATTTTCCCGCCAAAAACGTAAACTCGTAATTTTCCCGCCAAAAAACGTAAATCCGTAATTTTCCCGCCAAAAACGTAAACCTTAGATTTTTCCGCCAAAAACGTAAGCCCGTAAATTTCTCGCCAAAAACATCAACCCGTAATTTTCCCGCCAAAAACGTAAACCTTTAATTTTCCCGCCAAAAACGTAAACCCGTGATTTTCCCGCTGAAAACGTAGACCCGTAAAAAGTGGAATCCGTAAATAACCTAAGTTTGATAATAATGAATTACTAATGATAATTATTTATTATTGTATTATAATAATAATTAATAAAATTATTACTTAAAATGGGTTAACCCATTTAACAACTCAACTCATCAAATTAAATGAGTTATGGGTTGACCCAACCCTTTTAACAAAATGGGTTGGGTCAACCCATAACTCATTTAACCCTAAACTCATTTGATTATGAGTTGAGTTGAGTTGGGTTACCCATTTTGACACCCCTAGTTACGGTTATTACGGCTACAGTTTATTAACCATCAGTTACGGTTATAAATTTTTTAACCGTAACTTTAACCATTATCTACGGTTACAACAATTATGGTTATATATGGTTTTGTTATTTGATGATAACAATATAGTTAATATTGAAGGCGAAATCTTAAGAATTACCCAAAATTTTGTATTGCTTTTAATAAAATGAAAAAGTATATTGTACACCAAATTTTCTTCGTAGCATTCCAACATATATGTTTGAGAAAAAATATTACTATTTTCTAACTTAGATTTTTTTCATATCTATTATTTACTTTTTTGACAATCTTTATCCAAACATTCGATATTTGTCTTTGCATATACACGATTACAACTATATTTTGTCTTTGCATATACACAATTACAATGGTTATCCAACGATTTTGATATAGTTACTAATAATTAACGGTTAATATATTTCTTAACAGTAACTAATTTATTTTTTCAGTTATCGGTTACAATTTTTAACCAGGTTTAGAAACAGTCTGGTTACAGTTCGAAATACGGTTACAACTAAATTTTGGTCATGCCTATACTCATGGTTGCAATCCAGGCAATGAATATGAGATGTGTTGTGTGTTTGCTTGTGGATATTGCCGTTTGGTTAACATAAAAATTGATTTGTGTTTTTTCTTCACCCAAACCATCAAGTCTATAAATCCCTAACCTACTAATCTGCCGGAAAAGAACTCCTACTAATCTAACAAACTGAATTGGGCCCTAAGCCCACACACGTTCGCAACAAACGGAAACAATAATTTTAAATCTATACTAAAAAAATTATTAAAAATATTTCCAAAACTACCAAAAATCTTCTTTGGCCGCCAAATTCCTTCAGTGACTAATTTCCGACCGCAATTTATTTCTTTAACCAATTTCGTTTTCAGATTAGGTAATACGTCCAAAAGTGACATTTTAACGACTATATATATTCAAAACTTATCTATCATAAACAAACAAAAAAACACCAAAAAAAAATCAGTATTACGTCATGCTTCTCTAACCAAATATCTTGTATATATTTCTCAACAATTTTCTTTATTACAAATTCAAAGAACGAAAAAAAAAAGATGACAAAGAAATGTATGTATTATTGGATCATTTAAGTATTTTTGTACCTTTCTATAGTTATTTACCTTAACAAAATAAAACTCCACAAAAGCACAAACAAAGAGAACCCAAAGATCATACAAATTGTGTCTTGAGCTTTTTCTCTCCTCTCTTTATTCTCTCTCCATTGTATCTTCATTCGCACGTATTCTTCATACCTTTCTTTAGCTCTTCTCTCTTCATCATCTTTACACGATCTCTTTCCATCTAACAACCCTTGTAAAATTACCAAACTATCCCTACCTTTCATACATTTTCCTTCAATGTCCTCAACTTGTAGCCTCACGTCCCTCACGTGTATTTCTCCTCCCACTTCCTCATCCACCTCTTTCCACGCTTCCGCTGACCCGCATGACACAACCGCCGCCACTTCCGCCGCCTCCGCCGTCACTACCGTTGAAAACCGTATTTCTAAATCCCCCGTTAGCCAGTTCCGCCGCGCTGACACCGCCTTTCGACTAGATATATTCGCCGCTCGTTTCTTGATCGGATCGATTAGTATCCAATTAAGTTTCATGCTCTCTTCCATATCTTTCACCCACGCTTCGTAGTCCCCACCCGGATATCGAATCCGGGTTTGGACCGACTCTTTCGGGTCGAGTATATCGACCCGAAACGGTGATGACAAGAACCATCCTGATTTACCTTTCTCTGTTTCCATCTCTTGTACCTTCGAGTATATAATCTCTCCTCTGTAGTATAAATCAACGGCTGAGATTAATCCCGTCGGTGGATCATGTTTTTCAGACTGCCACGTGTGTTCAGTGAACGGGTACGAGTCAGCAAAGAAAGAACGGTAACCGGAAGGGAAAGAGGAGATAGCTTGGACAACACGTGGATCATTGATCGAAGGCCACGTGTCGATGGAGAGTTCTTGCCAGAGTTTCTCTTCCGTGCATAGAGTTTGGAGGTAAGAAGAGGTTGTTGCGGTGGAGGCTAGCGTCGGACCATCGAGTCGGGTCAAGATTTGGGTTTGGATTATGTCAGAATGAAGAGTTGAGATTGAATCACCGTTGATGACATCGACGGTTGCCATTTTCTTTAGGGTAAAAACTATAAGAAGAGATGATTAAGAAATTAGAGAGAAGTATATATAATGAATGAATTAAATGACCAATGTAGAAAATAAAGAAAAGGATGAAGAAGGCGATGGTTGATCAGTCAACCATGGCTCTTTGAGACTATTCTACTTCAAGTTGAATGATTCTTCCTAATTTTCTAAAGTTTCTATACATAGTAGATACACACGCGTACACACACGCTCCATTTTCTTCTTTTTTTTCTCACGTCTCTTTATGAAGTCTTTCATTTTTATCATAAGATTAAAAAGGTTCTTTTTGTCGATAAAGAAAAATAAAATATAGTATTTTTTTTCTTGTGAATGGATAAAATATCAGAGAACAAAGATCCGACGAGAAATGTTACATCAGTGTTTTATATAAAGTTTTAAAATAAATATATAATATTTAGATATCCATTATATTGTATATAGAAGAAATTTTCTATATTTTTAGTTATGTCCTTGATGAAAATGTCATATTTAACTGCGATTTAATACTGTTTTTGTAGTTTTCTATTGTTACATTTTTAGCTAGTATTCATGTAGCTGGACTTGGATTGAATATCTCCAATTCTCCGTGCATGTATCAAATTTTGGTATGGCCTAAATCTGTATAATTGTTTCTTGATCGGGATGATGAACCTGACATTCCAAAAAATCAAGGAAAGTACGAACCTCTTTTTTTTTCTTTCAGTGATGTATCTTGTTTATAATTTATATATTATATACTCCATATTTTAGTTTATCAAATTTATTAATTTAAAATAACTACCAGTGCCTGTTTTTTCAATTCCGTTTGAATAAAATATAGGGTGCCGACAAAAAAAAAGAGAATAAACTTATCTTCGTAGAGAGATCACGTTATCTTTGCAACGAATTTCATATTTTCCACGTTACTTTATTATTGGTTGACTTTTCAAGCTTTTAGTATTTTGGTATATGAGGAAGTTGTCCGGATATCAAAACCAAAAGACTGGGACAAAACAATTTAGTTTTCATGGTCGGTTAAAAAGCTTTTAGACGAAATACTTTTTTGGTCTAGTCAGAGCCGGTGTTCTAATTATTGGCTCTCTTACATTTCTTTCTCTTTTGGTACGTAATGTAGTTAATAAAGGATGTAGTTTATAGTAGAGTAAGTGACACAGAATTTGGGCTAAATCAGCCTAATTTATACTGATCATATGTATTAATTTCAGTGTGTTGAAATTGAATCAACAGTTGTGAATTCAACTGGTGATTTAACTTGAAAAAAAACAAAATTGTTTTTATTATTTTAAATATAGTTAAATATTTAGTATGTATATTGTTATACTGTTCAAGTTTACGTCATTAAACCCTTTAGCTTGACGAAAAAAAACCCTTTAGCCAAAAAACAAAAAAAAACGTTCAGCATATATATGTTCTACTACATTCCAACAAATTTATCATCTAAGGAAGATTAAAGAATAAAAATTTGATTAAAGAATAAAAATTTTACTCAAATTATTTTTTCTTACATACTAATTCATTTTTAAAATATAAGTTAAGATAAAATCAGTGTTTTGAATAATTTATTTCCTTCCCGGGCATGATTGTTTCTAGAGTGTTTCACTCATGTAGGTCATGACTCATGAGTAGTACTGAGTTTCACTCATTTGAATTAATATTTTTCTATTATTAATGTTTGGAAGATGATGACTATTATTTTTTTTAACATGAATTGAAGACATATTTGTTTAAATCACTTACGATTTCCATATCTTTAAACACCGAGCTGCATCCTAATACTATTCTCACCCAAACATATTTATTTGCAAACTTTTGATTAGATCTGGTATATATTAGTATTGGTATAATCTGACATGTATTAGTATTGGTATAATCGCATTTAAAAATATAAGTGATTTTTATTTTCTTTTTACTCCCTCTTATCACAATGTAACAAAATCTATTTTTTTTTTAATAGTTTTAACTTTTTCTGATGTTCGACCAAGTTCCATAATCCATAGTTTTATTTTATTGATTTAGACGTCGTGTAATCTTTAATAAATACACTACTGTTGTTTTTGGCTTATTTTCTATTTCTTATTAACATATAAACTACAATTTTATTAATATATATTAAGATACCTAACATATATGATAGTTTTGTTATTATTATCCTCTAGAAAACACGAAACATAATAAGATGAGATGACGTAGCGTAAGCGAGTTTCTCTTTGAAATAGTGATTAGTGAGTGAGCTGTTATTTTCGTGTTAGTTATTAGAAGGTGACAAAAGTAATATTCCTTATGGCTTACGGGTTGATTAAGAAAAAATTAAGACGTTTGACAGATATTTTTGCTGAAAATTCAATCATTTTCCTCAATCTTCCATAAATTAAGTAGAAGTGGAAACAACCTTTGTGTACAATTGCATTTAATTGAAAATAAGTTTTAAAACAATATTATATGTAGTACTCTCTCTGTTTAAATTTATTTGTAGTTTTAGGAAAAAAGGTTTTGTTTAAATTTATTTAACAGTTTTTGACTAATTATATTTTATTGTATGTTTTTAATATGGTTGAATTAGTTGTAAATAATAATGCTTTTCTGTAAAATTTCATGTAAAAGAGAAAATTAAATGAAAATTTTGTGATTTCTTAATCTATATACAAAAACTTTAAACGACAAATTATTTCAAAATATTCTTCTTAATTTTTTTTTGAAATGATTTTACGCATGGAGCATATTTAAAAGGTTTAAGGGGTGATTAGTGACTTGACTTTAAGGATGTACTAAAATTAAC